TGGAGCCAACCTATGATGAACTGAATCCTCTACACATTATAAGATAAATAAACATTTCTTCCTTTGAATGTTGGGTATTTTGTTTCAGAAACAAGAAAAATAACTAAGACAGTGTTTCTTGGCCACCTTTGAGGTCCTGGTTGCTCAAGACGGCAAACTAGGTTTGAGGGGGAAGAGGCTATCTAATAATTTCCTCTGATTGGCATGCTCTTTCTCCTCTCATGTCTCCCTGAAGCCTTTCACTTGTGACCAGAAACTGGACTTTTTTTTTTTTTTTGGTACCAGGGATCAAACTCTGGTCCTTGCACTTGCAAGGCAGGTGGTGGAACCACTGAGCTAAATCACCATCCCCAGGACAACGTTCTTAAAGCACATAATCCACCAGATAAAAGCTTCCATGTTCCAAAGATAACATTCACCACTGGGCCAGTCTTGTGTCTTCTGCCAAATATCTTCTGTCAGATACTAGAAACAGCCGATTCTACCAACACATCGTCAGGTTGGACCCGGACACCTATCCCTGCACCAACACAATGGTTTAGAGGTAGAATGAAACGCTGAGTCACTGGAGATGGGGTAGACGAGTGTTCTTACCCTTCTGCTTCAGTGAATCATTTCTATTTGTACCAAGCTGAAAATTCACATCAAAGGATTTTAGAATGGCACAGATGGAGTATAACAGTAACAGCAAGTACCAAGTGATATAAAAATTATCATTTCTGTGACTCTGTCTAGCATAATAAAACAGAACCAAACTGCTCTATGCTGTCCCACTGTGGCCCCAACAGTGTCCCAGTTGTGGCTGACACAAGGTCAACTCTGCTGTTAAGGGTGGAATGAAGTGACTTCAACATGTTGCACGGTGACAGGTATTTGCAACTTAACTTGCACATGCAGCAATGTTTTACCTGCTTCACTTAAAAGACAAAAATAAGCCAGGTGTGGTGGTGCACACCTGTAATTCCAGCACTTGGGGGGCTGAGGCATGAGGATCAATGCAAGTCTGAGACCAGCCTGGGCTACACAATGAGTTCAAAGCCGGCCTGGACTACCCGGTGAGACCTTGTATCAAAACACAACAAAACCCCAAAATAACTACTGTTTATTTGATGTTAGAGTTACGGTTCTACTGGGAAGAGTCACCAAAGAAAGAACACAAATATGACATCTGCCACTTATTTTCAGGAGGAAAAAAAGTGGAAGACAGATTCTTTATGACTATTAGTTTTATGGCGATCTAAAAAGTAATAGTTTGGTAATAGTTTGAAATGAAGATTTTTTTTAAACATAGCCAGCAGCCCTGTAGGAATTTGTAGAAATTTGGCTACAAACTGAAATTTTAGCTTATCTCGAAGCAAAGAGTTCACTGTTACCCTTGTCACCTTGAGGTCCCTGCAGTCCTGACTTTTCTTCTTGATCAGGAAATGTTGAGGGTTAAAGCACTTTATGAAAAACATTCACACTGAGTTTACAAATTTTGACTGGGTCATAAGGATGCAACATACTAGCCCACTCACCAAAAAGCTGCCCAAACATCTCATGGACATTGTGGGACGTATTCAGCTAAGTGCTTTTGGTGACTTAAAGGCAAACTGCACAAAGCAGACATTGAAAGTGGGGCTGGGTTAAGGCTAGCTAACCCACTGATCTCAGCAAAAGGGGAGCTACTCCGACTGCAAAACAACAAGTATTTCCTAACACATTTAATCTTGACTGTAATCGACAATAAAGAAAAGAAAAACACTAAAGACCTTTACAGGGAAAAAAATGCACCTCTTTTCATTTTCCACAAAAAGTTGCTAATCTGTTGCATTTTGGTATCAAACCATGATCAAGGGGCTTCCCAAGTCATCACACAGGGACAAGGACAATGGCTTGCTCACTCAAGCATGGGTGCGTCTAGACGTTGATTTCAATGGCTCCACATGAACCAGAGATAATAAAATACATGTCACCCACCACAAGCAGGCAGCAGGCCACTCACAGCTACAGGCCACTGTATACTAAGGACTTTTCGAGGAGGTCCTAACCCCTCCTTCTACGCTGGGCCAAGCCATGGCCCACAGGGTCAAGCGCAGGGTTGCTGGGTCACCACAGCAAGCCACAGGGCATCTCTTCACAACTCCTTCATGTCCTTGAAAAGCAGGACCTGCATCTCTCCCACAACAAGCAACACGGCTATCCCCAAAGAGAAAACCCTCATGAGATGTCAGGTCAGCTGTGCGTTGTGGCGCTCCTCGCGTTCAAGCCTTCGTAGTGCTCCATTTAGTAGGTTCCTTCACAACCCGGAGGTATGCTTCTTTTTCTGAGAGATGATAATAGCCTCAGACTCCACTGAGGAATAAATACTAATTGGAAATGACTGTGGGGTACAGGGAGGGAGAAAGTACACAAAGGAGAGGTGCTTCTGTTCCCAGCGCCACCTCTCTGGCACTGCAGGGACGTTACAGTACAGAGAGCCACGACCCGTGTAGGCAGAAGAGTCTCTGTCCCAAGAAGGAGCCTACTTGGCCTCTTGTTTCTCCTGCAGCAGTGGAATGATCGACTCCCACGCCATGAGGCACTGAAACAACAACATGCACACAGCATTAGCATTGAGTTTCAGACTCCAGGGTTAGTTTCGTCCAACTGCTCTGGTCTACCCATTCACTGTCAATCCTGCTCAGTCACCTTTGACTAATGACAACTTAATGTATTATCCATAGCTATCTCAACAGGGGAGGTAACAGGTGTTTGTTTGGAATGTATTACTCTCATCTTTATGAAAGACAGCAGTGTCCCTACAAGGCTTATATGCATTCACAGTAGTACATGAAACTCATACCCAGTGAGGAGAACTGGATTGATTCACTGGAAGAAAAATATTTCCCTTGAAAAAGCAGAATGGAGACCAGACAGGAAGCCCTTGATAAAGCCCTGCTCCAAGTGTGGACAGGGCCTGCAGAAGAAGGTAACCATGACAGGCACCTGGCACAGGCTGGCCACCTGAGTAAGACGGGGTAGAAAATCTGCTCTCCTTCACCAACTTCAGGTTGGCTTGTTTTGGCCACGTCTGGATCTCCCAAAGGGGAGAACAGGGGAAGGACCCAAACAATTGAGTTTCATTATGTCTAAACACTGTTAGGTATTTTACATTCATTACAACCAACTCTGTGAGGAGGAAGTATTATGATTTATTATACATACCTTTTCAGATGAGGAAAATTAAACTAAGGTTTAATAATTGGCCCAAGACCCTCAGCACCTAAGGTAAAGAGCAATTGGATGCTGTATCCACCACACAATCCCTTCTCATTCTAGATCCTTGTGACAGGCCAAGAACCTGCCCAACTCTGGCACTGTCCTCTCAGCACAGCCTACTTAGTAGAAAGGATCTCCCTCGAAGCAGCCTCTTGCATAAAGGGAAGGAGAGGTCCACTGCACTAGGCCTATCTTGGGCACAGCCCAGGGGTGAGGAGGACTTGGTACTGAGTCATCCGGGGATGAGTTCTGAGGAGGTGGAGAGGGCAGCATCCTCACATCACACAGCAAGGAGGGGTGGTGAAATTGCTCCATTTCCTTTCTTGATAACTCTGAGGTTAGAAAAGAAACCAGGCTCAGAAGCTTGTCCCATATAAAGAGAGCCAAGGAGCCTCAAGGAGCTTGCTTCCAGCAGGGACCCAGAGTGTGACCCTACTCTCTCCCTAGGCCCTCACCTCAGATCTGGAAGGATCTTTCTCCATCAGCATGAGGGAACTGAGGCCATACCAGCTTCCTTTTTGATCCCCAAATGTTTGGTTTCCAAGTTCTTTCCCATCTCAGGGACCTTTAATATGTTATTCCCTTTGACTGAAAAATACATTCTGCAAGTCTTTTTCTCTATGGCTCAGAATAAATGTTATTTCCACAGTTTGGCCTTTCCTTCCCTGTCTGAATTATGCCACCTTGTATTTTCTCTCAGCTTCTTTTTCTTTTGCTTTACTAGGCTTCTCTCTTAGCTGTGGGATTCTTTCATGAACACAGAACCTCCATTGGACTAAAGGGTGCCTTAAGGGCAGAGGTCCCGCTATTTGTGTTACCAACTCCATCTACCCAGGTCCTTGCACACAGCTAGTACATAAAAAGCCCTTGCCAAATATCATGTAGGCGCCAAGGCCAGGCCCCAAGACAGTAACCCTGTTTGCAGAATAATGGGAAAATACAGACATAAGACCTGGCTTTGAGACCTGGGGCCAGAACTTTAGGGATGCTGGGATTCATCCCCAGGAGGAGTGATGAAGACACTGGACCTGGTTGGTTTTGGAGTAATGGAAAGACTGTTAAACAATGAAGGGAAAGTGAGAGTGTCAAGGAAGGAAGTGACACTTATGGAGTGCCTACTATGTGCCAGGTGTAAACCCTGCTGTGCTACAGCTTCTCCAACTTTAAGTGGAGAATACTAAGCCCTCAACAGTGTGATGTGAAGGGTAAATTTAATGACACACGCAAAGTCTCCAGTCCAGCACTGACCCAGGGTCACCACAAGGGTTCCACAAAAATGGGAGCAAGGAAAGGAGCATTCACCTCCTTCTTCTGTAAGCAGCCCTCCCAGACACCTGACAAGAAGGGCCACTCTGGGACTGTTTCTTTAACATCCTCCTGGTAAGCTGGAAAAGATGCAGACACACGGCCTCTAAGAGGCAATCTGAGCCAGCAAAGCCTCCAGAACAGATGGATTCTCTAGCCTGAGATGAGGCCTGTTTCTAGGATTCTGCTGTGAGGAGCCAGGTTACTACCTGCCAATAGCCTAGGAGGCCTTGGAGATTGGGGCTGTCGCTTGATGGAAGGCATATGTGGGTGGGTGGGGGCTTAACCTGAGGTCTATAGATTAAGGGGTTCCAGGAATAAAACTTTTTGCAATAGAATTGTTTTCCTTTGTAAACCTACATATCTTTGTATGTGAGGTATTTAAAAACAGTATTTTGAAGTCTATTTTTAAAAAACAAACAGCTGGGCACCATAGCACATGCCTGTGATCCCAATTATTAGGGTGCCTAGGGATGGCAAGTCTGAGGCCAGCCTGGGCAACTTAGCAAGACTTATCTCAAAACAAAAAATAAAAAGGGCTGCCGGGCATGGTGGTACACGCCTGTAATCCCAGCACTCAGGAGGCTGAGGCAGGAGGATCGCTGTGAGTTTGAGACCAGCCTGGGCTACACAGTGAGTTCCAGGTCAGTCTCAACTGCATAGTGAGAACCTGTCTCAAAAAACAAAAAACAAAAAACAAAAACAACAACAAAAAAAAGGCTCTGGCTATTACAACTAGAGTCCTGGGCTGGGGATTTAGCTCAATGGGGCCACCCGCCGCCTGCCTCAAAAATGCAAGGTCCCAAGTTAGATCCCTGGCACCAAAAAACAAAAGAAAACAAATAAACAAAAAACCTAGAGTCCTGTCGGGCCGGCTCCTCACCTTCTCATAATACTGGATGTTCTTGTCAGCCAAGCCCATGAGCAGCTGCCGGAAGTCTTGCCGCTTGCTGTTCTGCCACCTCTCCATGTCGGCCTTCAGATCGGCATTGAAACACTCCATGCGGTCCTGACACTTCTCCACATCTGCTGGCACCTGGAAGTGGGGAGCATATGGGGGCTTCACACGTGTGACTGCCTCTCTGACCTCAAGCTCCTCTACTCACGCTGGCGGGAGGCCAAGGTGCAGCATTAAATGCCTTCCACACAGTCCCTCTTCTGCAGGCATCTATCTGAAAGCAGAGCTTTGGTTCTGGAGGTGTAAGAAGGGGTTCTAAAAAGGACTAACCTGACCCAAATCTCCCAACCCATTCGAGCACAACAGAGACCGGGGGAAGTCCCACTGATAAACGGGAAGATGAAACACTGAAAACTCAGTCAGATGTCTTTGGTTCCTTTTAAGATTTACCCATCCATTACTCGGCCTTAAAGAATGAGAAACTAGGGGCTGGGGATTTGGCTCAGTGGTTCTGCCACCTGCCTCGCAAGCACAAGGACCCGAGTTTGATCCCTGGTACCAAAACAAAAGAATGAGAAACCAGAGACGTTTATAGCTAAATGGATTCACACTGAGGTTGAGGCCATACTCTTAAGTAAAATAAATAGGACACACGTGTTTAGGAAATATCAAATAGTTCCTCTGGTGTGAAAAACTGCAAGTGTAAACAAGGATCAAAATGTATAATAGATATTGTGTAACAGGGAGAAAAGGTCCAAAGGGGAAGTGGGAGGGGTGGGTGAAAGGAAAGAAGGGAAAGGAATAAATATGAGAAAAGGAAAACAGAAACAAAGTCTTTGTAAATAGGAAGGGGTAGAGGGCTTGAAGGGAGGGCAGGGGACTGGGGGAAGAAATGTGAAGTAAGATATATCATATAAAGGTACAAACTCCCAATGATGAATGTCATCATTTGTATACCTAAAATGTACCAAAAAACTTAATAATAATAAAAAAAAGATTTACCCATCCATACTTTTAAAATGTTGCAGACTCTGCATACATTCAACAGTACTGGGTATTGCCCTTCTATTTTCCTGTGTCCTGTTTTGGAACTAGAAAAGAAATAGGTTCTCCCAGATCCCAAAAACAATCCTATTACTTATAATGTTTGATAACACCTTTCCCTATTAATGGCAACAAGACTACTGGCCAGCTTCCTCCTTTGAACCCATTACAAACTGGACACTTGTTTATACTCCTCTATGTCGAGATAATAAAAAATGGTGAGTTACAATTAGATAAGTCTGAGAAAATGAGAGGAAAATTACGTATGTATGTCAAAAGAATTTGAAATATAGAGAAGAAAAACAGAGCACATAATTTCAAATTTTTTCTTAAGGGGTTCAGAAGATGTTCTCAAAATAGAACTATGTCAACTGAGCGTGGTGGTACACACCTACAATCCCAAAGTTCAAGCCCAGCGTGGGCAACTTACTGACTTAGCAAGACCCAGTCTCAAAATTTAAAAATCAAATAAGGGCTGGGGTGTAGCTCACTGCAAAGGCCTTGAGTTCAATCCCTAGTTTTACCTTCCCCTCTAAAACAAACAAACAAACAAAAAAAAACCTTATCACTTGAATTTCACTACGCTTGTGTGACTTTTGTCCTTCCTACATGGCTAGAGGGTTCTGCCCATCCTAGTCACAGTTCTCTCTCCTAACTCAAGAGCTCCACTGGGCCCTGCTGGTGGCCAGAGGGTCAACAACATGCCCCAAACTGGGTCAAACACTTCCCAGAGAATGGGTGATAGAAACAAAAAGCAGAATGGTGGCTGCCAGGGGCTGGAAGGAGGAAATGGGGAATTACCTAATGGAGGGCGGGGTTTCAGTTCTGCAAAAGGAGGCGTTCTGGAGACTGGCTGCACAACCATGTGGATGTACTTAATACTACAGCATTGTACACATAAAATGACTAAGATAGCACATTTTGTGTTATGTGTAGAACAGAAACAATTTAAATATATAAAAGAGAAAATGGAGGGGCTGAGGAAGGCAGGGTTAGGGGAGAACCATGAAGAATCTTACATATTTTAGAATGAATAAAGGCCTTGGCACAGGTCAGGAAGAAAGGTGGTCACAGAAGTGAGTCAAAGAGAACAGAGCCAGAGAAGCACAGGGGTGGAGGGAGTTGGAGGCAAGAGCAGCAGGGCGGGCTTAGAAGGAAGAGATAAAAAGAAGTGGCTGAGCTGTCTGACATGACCAGCTTGTGTAGCTGCCCTACTTCATGCAGAAGAGTGCGCAGGCAGGTGACACTCAGGCCCGCATTCTTCTTGCTTGTGTTTTCCTTCTCAGTAGTGTCTGTGCCAATCAGCTTACCAATCAGCAGCATCCAGCATTCCTTCTTAATGTTTTTGTTTTTGCAACTGTGGCAGGGTTAAGAATCATGCTTCCCGGGTCTGAAGGATACTAAGGTATCAAAATCCAATGCTAATAGTTAGCTATTGCTTATTATAAGACACACACACACACACACACACACACACACACACAATCAGATAAGTTCTCAAAAGTTAAAAATTGCTAAATCTAGGTTCCCCTATCTCTTGCGAAAATTCCCATTAAACAATACAAGCTGGTTGGATGTTGGCAAAGGTGGGACGACTGCACATTTCTGTGTGTTGGGGAGCAGGGCAATAAGTAAAAATTTACTCATTTATAAATTATATTTGGTTAGCCTTTGTGTTGCCCATTCACTTTTGAAACAAGTGAGTGAGATGTCAAAAAAGACAAAAATAAATGCTTTGCAGTCTTTTCCACCCCTTACATTTGGTGTATTTGGTGTAGGAGCTGCATAAGTAACACTTTAAAAAAATCATACTTGAAACTTTTCCATGCCCAGGGCATTTCCAGGCTCTAGCTTATAAATAAATCTCTCATCTAAATTTGTTTCCTGAAGCTGGGCTGGAGGTACCACATCATAAACCCCCATGATGACAGCAGGATAATACAACCCCCCAAGACTACAGAGCATACAAAACTCCAAGACTTGAGGAAAAGAGAACTCATGGCTTCTTTGGGAGAGGACCCCAGGTATGTGATAGGACCGATTCAAGATGGTGGCTCCTCAGCCAGAGGCCGCCGAGTGGGCAGGAGGAGCACAGCTTCCACAGCGACACAGCAGTTGTAGTGATATTGATGCCCACAGCCCTCTGGGAGGCCAGGTCCCCCAGGTCAGTCAACGCCAGCTTCAAGTAACCTAGTCGGTTTAGCACAGTGTGCATACAGATATTTTCAGTTTCTATGTGAGAAAACCCTGACACAGGGTTAAACAAAACAAATAAAAACTTTGGAGCACGGCAGATGAGGAGCAGGAGAGAAGTGAGGGCCTAAGATGAGCCAGGAACCAATATGGTGAGAACTGGACAGCCAAGAGCCCACTGCACCATGCCAGAGAGAAGCTGGGAAACGGACTGGAGGCCCTGAGAAAGTCCACAGTCTCTCCCCTTCCCCCAGGGCCCATCTCTATGTGCCTATATAGCCAGAGCCCAGCAAGGCACACTCGGAGGCTGCGGCAGAAAGATCACAAGTTCAAGGCTAGCCTGGGCAATTTAGTGAGACCCTGTCTCAAAAAATTAATTAATTATAAAAAGGGCTAGAGATGCAGCTCAGTGTGAAGGCCCTTGCTTCAATCCCCAGTATGACCAAGAAAAAAAGGAAAGAGTCAGAGATCTCCCCTCAACAGAGCAGACTGTCGAGAGCCTGCAGAATAAGGGGAAAGGCACCAGCTCCGACATTTGGGAGCTTTGGCACATTATTATGTAATTCCTGAACCATGGTTGCCCATCTGTAAAGTGAAAGCAATCACACTGACAGAAGGCTGGAATTAGAGAAGACAAAGGAAGAAGGTGACAGAATTCTGCTCTCCTTTGGCTGAAGGCATCTGGCTTTCTAACCCAGACTGAGACCATAGCCACTGTGGTCAGAACTGAGCGACACCAGGCATCTCTTTCGTCACTTGCCAAACAGGTAGCTCTGCTTAGTGCTAAGGTCTTTTGGAGCTCTGTATAAAGAACTCTCCCTGTTACATCTTAGAGTTGGGGCTCTTGCCATCTAGATCTCCCACATTCCAGAGCATTAGCCATCCTCACAATTCTAAGAGCTTTTAAAGCTGTCCAGCTATCCAAGTAGGGCCAATTCCTACTTCCCTTCCCTACTTCTGCTCCACCTGAGAAGCTAAGTACATCTTGGTTTCTGTTCCCATCTATTCTTACACAACTGCCCACTCACCCCCACACAACACACTCACCTCCACAGCACACTTGCTCACTTCCATATATACCAGACGCACTCACCTCTGCAGCCCTACCCAACAGCCCTCACACGTAGATGGACATTTTATGAAATGAGCAGCTTCAGATTTTACTGTGCTTTACTTAACATGGTTTTGAGCTTACAAAACCAGAGCTGCTGTGGGTGAGCTGAAGGCCAGTGTACCAGGAAGTGGGTTAGAGCAGAGCCCAAGGACCGCTTGTTGTCCTGTTGGAAAGCAATAGTGGGGGACACTGCTCTCAGGTCAGAAGGGTGCTGGGAGGAGAGGGCCAGGTGTGGGCATGTTCCAGAGAGCTGAGGGCATGTGGGAGCTTCATTCTGAAGTGAAATCTTGAAAAAGGTGCCCCAGACAGTGAGGTGAAGTTGATTTCTGTGAAGCTGCAGAGTGGAATGGGAACCTGATTACTTTTCTGTAACCCAGAGGAAGGAAGTGGCCCAGAGGAACTCCGTGACCCAAGTCTCAGATTTCAAACTGGGGTAGTTGTTTGGGATAACGGAGTCCTAGGATGACGTTTCTTTAGGATGAAGGAGCAAGCTCTGGGCTGGGAGCAGGAGCTGAGTGAAATATGAGAATCACAGAATTTTAAGGTTTGGTTTAGGCTTAAGGAAACTCAGCAGATACCAAAATGGTCTATTCTCAGGTAAATGTCACTGTAGATTATGGACACTTAGCTTTCTTTATTTTAATTTTTTTGGTCTTTTGTCTTGCTATGTATTCTCAGCTTGCCTTGAATTCACTATGTAGCCATACTGGCCTTGAACTTATGGCAAACCTCCTGACTCAACCTCCTTAGTGCTGCCACACGTGGCCTCCTCATTTGAATTTTAAGGTTAAGACATTACAGGCACCTCAGAGGGGCCTGGCTGTCTTCTGCTAGATCTGTCAGGACTATCGACTTGTATCTTCGACTTCAGACCCTCCTTAGAATATCAAAAGATATAAAAATATCCCTGCAAGTGATCAAAGCTATTTATTATTGGAAACAAGAAGGGGCCAAGGAATTGCATTTAAAAGTAACCAGGAAGAGCCAGGCATGGTGGCACACGTGTGTAATCCCAGCACTCAGGAGACTGAGGCAGGAGGATCGCTGTGAGTTCGAGACCAGCCTGGGCTACATAGTGAGTTCCAGGTCAGTCTCAACTACATAGTG